GGCAATAATTACAGAATAAAAATAAGACAGATGCTGATTGGGGACGAACGAACAAAATGATGAAGCAAGCACATTAATGAAGGAGAGCATTAGACCCTTAGAAATGAGTCGTATTCCGAAGCGCCCCATAAGTCTAGTATAAGACAGTCAAAGCTATATAGGAGACAAATCAGCCCGATTTATCCTTTGTATAACCACTGGAAGCAAACGTTGGTAAAGATTAGAAAAAAAACCTCCAAAATTGGAGATCATTTATCCAAAAACAGAAACAGAGGCAGGCCGAATATGATCGAAAACTCTGGTAATCTGGCCCGCGGCCATGGCTTTGCCTTTCAGATAATGGCCTTGCGAAATTGGTTCTAAAATAATCAAAAACAGGGAAGCCTCGCAAGAAAGTCACTCAGTTTATTATGCTGGTTGCAGATTCTTAGTGAAAGAGGTGCAGATAAGGTGTAGCGTCTACTCACCGGAGCGAAAAGTTTTGCATTTGCGCATAAGCGAAATTACAATGAAACGTCTATTTAGCATATCAGGCGCGCAAAAGATTACTCGGAGAGATCAATCAGCCAATTTTCTCCAGCGTTACGACACTAAATCTTTAGGGTTTCTGAATCAAATGACTTTTAGCAAAGCCCTTGGAGAGTAGACTAAACCTATGCAGCAAAAAATCAGGTCATCTAAACCGGGGAAGATGCGAAATTGGAAATTAGGCTGTACTTGATAAAGTGCAAATCTCCTTTCATACCCTAAATGAAGCCAATATTCATTATGGACTCCTAAATCCGTTAGTTTATATTCCTCATTTTGTTGCAAAAGCCTATTAGACTGAAAATATTAAAACATACCAAAATGGAGATGGGGCTGCACTCACCAGTGGGATCGGAGTGGCTCTGAATGCCGATTAGACCACGTGGGTTGACGTAGGCTGAGGCATTAGCCACGAAGCACTGGCCGACCTGCTCCCGGACTTCCGTACCGTCGGGTGCAGTGACCAAGCCTAGGACCTGAGGCCGCAGTTCAAAGAATTCTGAGCGTCCGGGATGCCGGCGGCTGGGGCGTCGGATACTGTCGAAGAGATATACAAGGTGATTGAGTGCTGGAACACGCGACTGATCGACTCGAGACAGCATGACAGGCACTGAGAGACTGAACGCTGTGTTCAACAAC